ACCCTCTTTTTTTTTTTTTTTTGGTGGAGTTAGGAATAGCAGTTTCCACTTGCCTGCTGTCAGACCCTTCCAGTCTCCATTTCTCCACTCTTGTGGTTCTCTCATTGATCCCAGTCCCTTTTGGTTTGATTAGGGGCACTGCTTTTCTGACCACAGAGCAAGCAAGGTCTCTACCCAAACCCCTAAACCAGTGTTGCTTAAGCTTGGGTCCATGAGGCTAAGATACTTGGCTTGTGGGTTTCCCCATGAGTCCACAAGTATGGTGGCAGGAGAGTAGTGGTAGCATTACTTGCCACTGCTGCCAAATTTCTGGACCTGTGGGGAGCCCTGTGGGCTGAATGACATGTAAGATATAGTGCTGGTGTGTGGTGGGGCCAGTGTGCAGGGTCACTTCACAGCTATACCTGGCATGCAGGCTCAGGCCAACACCATGCAGGACCTAGCCTGAAGATCACTCCTGTATGTGCGATTTGGCCTGGGGACTGGCCTCACATCATTCATTCAGCTTGCGGGGGCTACTGCCGTAAATGAATAAGTGTGTCAAATCCCTTCAGCATCCGTTTGCACTACCTGGTTCAAGCTACTTCCTCATACAAATGAGAGAACCTAACTCGGGCTTCGTATTTACTTCTTAAAAGTTCTCTTCCCCCATCCTCACTATAGGCAGCTCCAGCTAGGTGTTTAACTCTGGTTAGTGTCCTCTGACTCTGGATCTTCTGTATATCCTGTAAATGATGTGACTGGACTCCCTTAGATAAAAAGCACCACTTCTGTACAGCGGCCTCACCTCGTTACTAACCCAAACTCGGCATGGGAAAGCAGATAGAGATACAGTTGTGCCTGAGCCAGCCCAACTTCTGTCAGCAGGACTCCCTTGGAGTACTTGCAAATCTTGCTTCTACCCATAGGGTATCCTGCTACCACATCCTTGATATTGCTGGGGACCTAGACACCAGCTTTTGAGGATGTCTCACCCATCCTACACTTGCCAAATTCAAAGGTGCTTCTGGGACCACGTGCTGCAGCTATAAAGGAGGCTGAAAACAGATCTCAAGATCAGTCAGGAAGGTACTCCTGGAGCTGATTCACTGGCACATTTCTGTGTTTGGTGCTTGAAAGGGGATGTGCCCAAGAGCAGGTGTCCCTGGCAGGAGTGGGTATGTAGCTTGGACAGACTGGTAGGTGAATGATATGGACATGATTCTTGCCACTTTCACTGTAGTCCTCAGGGTTTAAAGAATAGCTGTAAAACTGGGCAGTTAAGCTTATCTTTTGTTTGAGGATTGCTGTCAGTAGTGGCAGAAGCCTGGAAGCTGTCAGCAGACTCGGGAAGGCAATATTAATCATCTGTATAA